AAACACATTTTACTAATTATGCCAAAGGGGTTCCGTGGCAAATTTAACTCCAAACTTCAATTTACTGTAAACTAATTACTGTAGGCCTGTACCCAACGGATGTGGAGTTGAGATCAATTCATGCAATATTGAAATGCATGGGTATAATTTATGTGTATCTCCTCCTGTCGGAGTGATATTGTTTCTACATTTATAGACTTTATAGACGCTATACAGAGTTAATCCCTAGGCATACATTTATAACTCCCAGTTACCCAATCTGAATTGATTGAAATGTTCTGTATCATTCGTAGACAGTTTTCAATCAACTTTTTATAACTGAATTTGAATATGCCTATACGATTCTCCTTCCTCAACCCATAATTGATTAACCTCCTCAAGATGGAAACAATAAATTAGTTTTGTTTGTTAGTGGAATATTCTAGCTTAAGATGTCAATCTGTGCTGTTATTTAATTAGATTCCCAGTAATATTAAATTTAGTCGTGTTATATTTTTTTGAGAATTACAGATATGGTGACTATATGGTTCATAATTTTGTAAAAAGAATAATTTTCGGCTGCTATTCTCTCTATTGCTAATATAATAAGCCTTTCACTCAGGTCTGCCACCAGCGCTGTTGTTCTTCACAATCAAATAGTGGAGTTAAATAGTTTGGTGGTTAAGGTGCTTGCTTTCCAGTCCCCATGGTCCTGGGTTCAATTCCTGTCACAGCAACAATTTTTTTTCATGACCAAAACAACTCCAATCCCTAAGCATCATAATGAAACTTAGTCTAATTAGAGCATCTTGTGTGTATGTTTGTCTTGTGACGCAATAGCCACTATCAAAAGTAATTAGGTTCACTGAATAAAATAGTATTAGTTTGAGATCTTATAGTGACAAAACAGTTTTCTGTTGCTGCGCTATTATTATGGAATTCCCTATCTCTTTATAGTTCACAATTTCCTTTCTTTCAACATTCAAATGGTTAAAAAAATCGTATCAAAGCATATTTTCAACAATTTAATTCTGTTTCATCATTAAACAGCGCATTGAGACACATCGTTTATATCACTCTCGTTTAACAGTGCTCGGTAGAGGGCGTCATATTCCCGTGGATGAATATGCATGAGCACAGTTAGCAAATTAAAATCCTACAGATATTATTATAGAAGTGAAATGAATTCGTCAGGCCTGTGAAATTGACTGAACACCTGGAATGGCCCCAAAAGTCTCAAACATTGTCAGGTATGTTCACGTTCCGATGTACAACACGATGTCCGATAGCCTGTAGCAGTGCGTTTGTGATGTTTAGTATTAGGTTCTATGACAGAACTTGATTCATTTCAATCTTGGTTTTTGTCGTAATTGGTAACTGGAGGCCTTAAAAGCGCTGACAGCGATTTACGTCGTCTTCTTGCACGTTGTAATAATGTTCAGTTTTTTTTTATGTCTTAAGGATCAGTTTCCTACTTGGATCATGAGACAAACATTGTCAAGTAAACCTGTTTGATAAAAATTATATTCTTGAATTAAAAAAAATCTCGAAGTGAATTCAAATCGTAAAACGTAATACTACATTTTTATAAACCCCCCAAAAAATTGATTTTGATATAAATATGTTTTACAATCAGCCACCGAAGATTAATAGAAAGGGAATTGACGTCACTGATCATAGGTATTAGGTGAAAACAATTCTACCCTAAAATCCCCACAGAACACAAACATATAGGTAGTACATGTATCTGACAGACGTTGACAGTTAAGAATTATTTAATTCTTATTCCATGTAAAAATAATATACTAAAGTTTAACTACATTAGACATACATAGGTTTAAATTATCAAAAACTAAAGTACTGGTACAATAGTCCGACGAATATGAAATGTAAGCTCTGCATTAAAAATAATAGTAAATAATATAATATAACAACTACAGAACGATGCCATGATGCTACAAAGCCTGAACTAATGATCGTGTATGCTTGATTAGCTCAACCGTCGCTTTCTCTGTGCTTTCTCATCTATAAACATGAAATATTTCATACACGGGTCTATTACAGCGGATAGGCCTATGTTATAACTTTAATACACTTTTTTCTAGCAGTCATTACAACGTCAATCCCATACAAAATCCATTGATTTTCAGAACAAGACCAAAAAAAAAAAAAAAAACAAAAAAAAAAAAAAAAAAAAAAAAAAAAAAAAAAAAAAAAAAAAAAAACAAGTATTAGGCAATGGTTTGAACTGCTGCGTAACAACCAATGGGATTACTGGCCTTCGGTGCACTCAGTGAAGCCACACTATATGCCACAAAAATGAAAAATATGATGATAATAAATATATAACATAACATGGAGTGAAAGCTGAGTTTTTAATCATCGTTAAGTGAGTGTATACTGTAACCAGTGGCGTAATCCGATAGGGAAGGTTTTGCGCCCCTCAGAAAAAAAAGTTAGCGCCCTCGGGTTCCCCAGGCTACTAAATTTAAAAAATTCTGAGCAAAAAAAATACACTTAAGTAATTAGAAATCAATAACATGTCATTCCCTCCAGCTAGCGCACCCTTCACACTTTTTCACTCAACCATTATCTTTGTATTCCAGTTTAATTTATACTCTTATGCTTAAATGATGTATTCTAATCTCATCGCCTTGTGATTAATGTGTTTTCAGGGTAGCCATTTTTACATTAGGACTAAAAAAAATAAATTGTTTGTTTGCCCTTCATTTTTAAAATAATAAAAAGGGGCGGGTGGAAAGATGGAATAAAAATAACCCACAGAGGCCTAGAATGGCAATATCTTACATAAGACAACAATTTTAGACTAATTTGTAGGGCATCTGGCAAAAAATAAATATAAATTCACTCACTTTTTTTTTAATTTGTAAAGAAAGAAGCTAAAAAAAACTTTAAAATTTTTTTGTTTTTTGTTTTTCCGGCCCTATTTTTTCAGTGAGTTTTTAGGGGTGGGTGAAGGAGGGCAAACAAACATTTTTTTAGCCTTATGCGTGACATGTGAGGGCGAATTTATTTAACTTTCCAACAAGTAGGCCTAAACCTTTTATTTTACTGTTGTTAATATTACTGTTATTATTACTGTTATTATTATCAAGTGCTCATAAAATAAAACTTCTCGAATTTCAGTTCTAGTTAAGAGCAGTGTATTTATTGTGCGCATTGCCAGGTCATCGTAACAATTTTTTTTTTTTATTAAAGGAATGAGATTTTTACATCAAGTATAATCCAAGTCTGACAAACTTAAGTAACCGTGAAAAACAAACCGACATATCTATTGATCCGATATCCAATATTAAAGTGAGAAATTAATTCCCAGGACGCATTCCCTTTCGAAACTGTAAACATCCTGAATTTTCAGTAGTCCACCAGAAATACGGATTTGAGATACCAAAGTTGGACATAT